GAATAGAAATTCCGTTTAGTGAAGTCAATGACTTATCTATAATCTATGTTAAGAGTGACTAAGAGTGAAAATTGCCGATAGCGGCCTCAATCTCAAAATAAAAAAAGAAAAGTAATTACACTGAAAACTTTTTTAAATGGTTTGCTATCTGGTGATCATATTCGTGAGAAAATTCCCGACGTATCGCTCATGTGCCTAACTATATGAAATGAACGTAGCTAAGTTCCTTATGTTGCCTGATTGCAAGCGAATTGAATTAACATTTCGAACTATATTTTATAATAAAATATTATATTCCCTCAAAGTACTTTCAAATCAATTCACCTCTGATCCCACTTGTACGTATTTGCGTTTGGTCTTACGATGAGTAAGGAATCTAATGACAGGCCATAGTTTCCTTCCTCTGATATAAACTTTAGATAAATAGAATTATATTTAACTGAATTAAACATCTCATCGTTTATAAACTAGAACTTTATCACATGATTTGTATTGATTGCGCCGACATCAAACTAATAAATCCATAATTTCCTGATTCTATTTAATATTATTATTATCAAACGCAAATAACAGTTATACATTTAAATGAATAGACTAATTGCTTTACTCTTTTCGTTTGTTATAAATTTCTATTTATCAGAGATGAAAGATGATTACGAAAATTCTACACACATGGATAATAATATATCAGCATGGAATCGAAAATTGAATGAAGTTATTTCTACCGATCTATCAAGTAAAACTTGGGAAGGTCCATTTTATTATGATGTATTCATTGGCAGTATTATTACTTTACCATGTGTAATAAATGACAGTAAAATTGAAAACATTTACATTGCAAGGAATACCATAACTAATGAAGAGAAATCATGGGCATTATTATGGATTCATAACACATGGACAAATGTTATTGATCCTTGGTTAGGTGATGGGAGACGCAGTTACAATCCATTAGATAATAATCGTTGGGAAATACCCAACACTGATTTATCAATAAGTCAAGCATATTTGTCAATTATAGATATTGATCCAACTGATGTTGGAGTTTATGCATGTGTTCTGGTTACCTATCCAATTCAATTTGGTTATTCACCAGTTGATTTAAAACAAACTCAACTATTAAGTATTCATATGGTACGAGTTCACTCTAACTTTATAGTAGCACCAGAATGCCAAGATGATGATTTGGAGAATGGAAATTATTGTAAAACTGGATTTGAACCATGGAGATTTAATGTTTATTATCCAATTGATGGATGGGCAAACAGTATCTTATTCCATGGTAGGCCAAGTCTATAAATGGTTATTAAAATGTATTCATTATTTTAGTGAATTTGGATTGTGGCTAGGAGTGAAGTCTAAGAAATGCATTTTTTCTGGTTTGCGATTCGTCTCTTGGCAGGACGTCCATTTTAGTGTTGATGTTCACTTTGAGATTCGATCCCAGAAGTTGCCATTTCAAATGTCAATAAATTACTCATCAAGATACTAAGTCCACATAGGCATTAGCTTGTCCAATCGGTGTAAATTCAATTACAAGGGTATTTGTTTTCCCACTTTTGACAGGAAAAACTGCAATTTATTAGTCTCCATTGCCATATGTGCATCCTGAACAAATAGCCTAGAGATTATCAGTCACATAAAATAAATCCACATAGAATCCGAGTATTTCAAACCAATGGTGACTAGCTGATATCAAGACTACGATCAAGTCACAACTTCACGTTTGTTTGTACATATCAATAAGCTCTGTGTGAATTGGATTACAGAATTTAATACAGTCGTTTAAAAATTTGTAGATTTAAGGGATTGGTCTTTTTTTGTAACACCCTGATATTTTATTCATAGCTCTCATGACGCGCGATGTCTCATGCTGATACTAATACACAAACTTCATATATGCAAACGTCAAGCCAGCTACTAAGTGAAAAGATTAAGAGTGGCCCATAACATGCACTTATCATTTAAAATATTTTTGATTGATGCAGTGTGGGCTTCTCATTTGGTCAATTTCGATTAACCCATTGTATCAATAGCAATTCGCGTATTCATAAAAGTTTTACATGGATAATTTATTTATGATGGGAAAAAGATGTTCACCCTCAATTTATGAGACTATTACTGACATTCAATAAGACAGAATTAAACAAACCAAATCAAAATTAATTATTGTATCATTATGTTTTGAATTATTAATAATAAAAGGGTTCTATAAGAGAAATCAAGAATAATACTTTTGTTAATAAGTGATTTTTTTCAACTTGGAATTGAAACTGAATGCAACAGTAGTCGGAATCAATAACGACAAAATAGAAAGATTTGAATGAGAGAATTTTAAACACAATCCGCACTAGGACCTAAAACCACCCAGAGAACCAATAAAAGAAACAAAACGAGAACGCTCAGATCTGTTTCGTCCTAGTGGGGGATTCATCAACTGGTGGACTTAATTTACCAACAGATGAGTTTCCTGATGAATAAGTCTCTATCCCATCACACATACAGTCTCGGTAGGGCTATAATCAAAACAGGTAAATATAGATATTGGCAATAATTGTTTCTAAAATACAAATAAATACGATTAGTACAAAAACGCAAGATAGTAGTTAATTACAAAAGGAACTATAGCCACACGCCCACCGAATGGGAGTAGGGACACAATGAAATGAATCCATGAAAGGATTACTCATGTTTAATAAAGGGTTGGTACATTTTTCTAATTGAGATTTAAATTAAAAAGGGCAATAATCAATAACTAATCTGAGGTTAAATGAGTTTTAAATAGCAGGCGTTTAGCAGAAAGATTATTAATTGCTTCACAGTTGTTCATCGAGATTAACATCAACTATTCTGTATTCCATAATTTTCATTAGTTTCCCAGTTGACAGCAATTTGTGACGAAAATGAACTTTAGGATGTACTTCCTAACATAATAACGAGGGAAATGATATAAAATCAAACAGCAGTCACAAAAGAGATTCACAGCATTGTCATGAGAGAAATATCCTATAACGTACACACCTATCAAATTGAATAGCTAAATCCAAAGGGTAGGAAGGCGTTTTAAAAAGTGCTTAACCAAATTTGTTTTAGCCTTCAGTAGTAAAAAGTAAACTAACCATCTCTTCATTTCTTTCAGGTAATGACAATATTCACATGTAATGATTGGTCATAAGGATGCTGGAGAGACATGCACAAAACGTATTTAAAGCGCTTTTCAGCACAAATTATGTTAAAAATAACAAATCATTTCAAAGACAGTAGGGTATTCGACAGGAGAAAGATATTCACGGATAGTTACTGTCCAAAATTATAAAACAGGGATAAATGAAAATTATTTTTGAATTGATTTTTTTTCATATATTTTCAGTAGCTGACCTTTCTTACTTTTATTGGAAATTTCAGCTCCATGTAATGCAGATATTTTTCTAACAGCTGTAACAATGAATAATGTAGATCCGACATTTTGGAGTATTGGTTGGAAATTCATACCATATGGTCAAAGTGATGATACAAAGGTTGTTGAAATGAATGAAAACTCTAATATTCAACTGTTACAACCATCTTATAGATGTCTTGAAAATTCTCCCATTAATCTATCATTTGTTAAATTCAATGAAAATGTAACTAATCTAGATAAGCATAATTTATTAACAAAACAGATTCATGCATCAACCTATTGGAAGGCTCATTGGCTTGTTTTAAATAGTTCCATGAAACAGAAATCAGGAGCATGGCAGTGTTGGGTTCAAAGATCAATTCATGAAAATCACGCATTCACAACTGGCATTCCCCATATTCGTTGGTTAACAAATGAAGTACACGTGAAAATTATACCTAGAAAATATACTTATCAATTGGAGCTAATAATCGAATTATGGCGTATTATTGCCTTAATTATGGCTCCATTAGATATTTTTCTGTTATTCATACTATTCACTGTTGGGTGGTATTTAGCCCATTATCATGAAAGCACGTTTAAGTCGAGGGGGAAATCAAATAACCTACGCAATGTAAAAGAAAGTTCAACACAATTCATTCAAGAGCAGCAAAATTCTGATGAATCTGAACAAATATTTATACCAACTCAGTATGTAGATGAATTTCTTCGAAACTCTGGTATTGAATCGTACAAAGAATATGTTATTCGTAGAAATAAGAAAAGGACCGTTAAATAATCGTATGGGTTTTAATTGAGAATACTTTGTGTAGAGTTAATGTATGAAAAGAAGCATCTATATTACATAGAACACTGGTAAATTGTTCGAAAGTTGGTGAATCTAACAATACATTATATTTAGTATTAAGCGTTTACTTTTATCATACTCAGCTGCACTTTCTATGGTTAATTTTTTATTCTCATTGATATTATCTTGTAAATACCTTTCGATCTTACCATAAACTATACATTGATGCATTGTACTGTACTGTACATCTGTGAAAAAAAGTACTACAAGTGAATAATTTAGGATGTTTTTCACAAACTTGTAACTTGTCGTCAGACTATCAATAAAGTAGCACTCAGGTTACACGCTGAGTTATAGGCAATAAAGATGAATTGATTTAGAGACCATTTTTATAAATGAGTAACCAAGATTCAGATCTGATATGCTAAACTAATCAAGCACACAGTAAATCTCTATACTTTTAATATTCTGATTCAACAAAGTAAACGAAATTACATTGTAACCATGCATAAAGTAGTAATCCTTATATTAAAGGGCTGTAAATTATCATGCATAATTAATAAAGTTTTGTAGAGAATGACCATAATAATTTAGATACCAACAGATGAGCGCAATGTTCACCCCACAAAGGATGTTAGAAAGTCATATTAATGCTAATCAAGGATGTTTCGCTAGTGTGTATTTTATACGTATTTACAGTAAATACTGTCTTAATTGCTTTAATCTCAATAACTTCCTTACTCGGTAAAGACCTATGACAAACTGTGTGTATATCCGACGTATTATAATTAAAATTAGGTAAACAAAACGTTGATCAGTAGAAATGTTTTTCGATGAAAAATATTTCTTAATGATATTCAATTCTAAATCCAATATTATCAATCATATCACAATAAGTATTTACAAAAACAAGAAGAAAATCCTTTTTAGTATCCCTGTAATTTTAGGTGTTAAATTGGTTTATTTTCCAAATTATTGTTACATTCTCCCATTCTAAGCCAATATAGTAACTTGATACAACTATGTAAACAGTAAAATTTACAATCATAAATCTCTTAAATTAAACTAGTAATAAATACTTTTTAATAAAATGTGACAGTATATCAAAATACTTCAGTTTGTTAGTTACAGTGAAGAATTAATGGATAGAATTCATTTAGCTAAAATAAGCGATATAACATAACTGTTTAATTGCTTCAATAGCTATTTAATATAAATAAAACAAATGATACAATATAGATAGAAGCATAGTTTATTTTAATTTAATGATTCTCTAAAACAAATGAAATTGACAATTGATGCATCTCAATGAAAATTGTAAAGAGAAAGAGAGAACTAATTTTCTTTTACACTTTATCATAGTAATAACGAAAATATAAATAGATGATTAAGAAATGTAAATTTGTACAATGAAATAAGTCAAGTCATTTTTATGTACACATACACATACACATTGAAATGTATCATGACGACGATGTTAAAAAAAACAGTAGAATTTGTTAATTTTAAAAATTCAACAATGTTGGTTTAATGTCAAGTTGTAAATTTTTCTCCCATGTATATAATAGTTTAAAAACAAAATCTAATTAAGGTTATAACAATCAATGATTTTTATTTTTAAAACGTATCTAGAAAATTAGTAACAGAGAAAAATGACAAATTAGTATGTGTTTTTTTAGATTTTACTGATAGTTACCACAGTGACAAGACTAAGATCAGTTCATAATTTAAACTATGAAAATCCTACAAACCCTATTGTACTAATAATAATCATCTGTTCACTAGTGACTAGATTAAAGTCCTGAAGTTCTAACGAGAAGTTGTAACTAGTAGAGTTTAACCATGTTGGATGTGAAACAGTAATTCATCACAATCAATGGATAGGGGTTACGTGATATCGTAAACTGATTAAAGTTAGGCATGTATAACATTGGTTGCCGACACGGTAATCTAGAGGCTAGACGTTCACATGCGAAACCGAAAGGTATAGGTTCGACTATCGCAAGCAGAGACAGAGGGGTTTTATGCTAGGGCGAAACGGTCATCCATCACTTTCAATTTTCAATGAAGACTTAATTAAGATTAGTTTATGGATTAAGCATTTAAAAGACGTATATATGTCTACTAGAAAATCTCCACCTAAATGTCAGAATTATTAAGATTTCTGTCCAAAGAAACGAGTATAAAGTTTTCTCTGTTTATCGATAAATAAAATGTAAGTGATCCTTTCATTTGTTCAACAAAGAAAGAAAGATTAACTGAAGGCTGTACAATCAATCTGTTTTATGTTCGAATATACAACGTTAACAACCATTAGAATAATACAAAAATCTGAGATATAAATATATTCATATTGTATTATGCTTAATTGTAAAATTAATGACTGTTAACATATTGATAGGAGATAGGATAGAGCTAAACACTATAAATAACTAGCTGAAAGTTAAGAGTTTAGACCAATGAGGCAAGTTCTACAGCATTTAACACGCACAGAACTTTACCCTCTCTATCATTTTAGAATTTAAAACAATAAATGTGATCCAAAAAAACACCAGTGATATGAATTACATTTTTAGCATAACCTGACACTTTTTAATTCTTCATCTAATTAAATGAACCCTGGATACGCGAGTAGAATAGATGTTCTGTCTTGTAGATCCAACACAAGTATAATACAAGCTGTTCGGTAAGCAACAGATAACAGAATAGTTTAGTAATTCCAGAGCGATTGGAATGTATTTTAATTTCAATATTACATGAGCCTGCAAAGTGAGATTAGACATTGACGTTATGCTTAAACTACACTGACTCATTCAAAATGTATCAAACAAGAACTACTAAGTTTAACAAACGGTTGAAACGTTGAATTTTCTAGAACTAATAATAGATACTTCCAATAATACGGTTCAATATATCAGATATGAGATGCGAATTCCTTTATTCAGTAGTCATCAACACTACACTTTTATGGTAATTTTACAGGAACCTTGTGAATGGTTTTAACCGAGTGTGAAGCGATGATAATTTAAAGTTAATAGAAAAACCGTGATTTTAACGATTTGATTACAGGTTGGAATACCGTACCACATTTATTTAGATTTGTATCACTATATTCTCAGAAAAATTGTAGTTTAAAGTGGAGTATATGAACTTCTAGGTAGTTCTTAAGTTGCATACTGAAAAAATTATTCACTTGCTAATAAATTTTAAAAGACCTTAATATTTCAATTCAAACAAAATCCCAAATATTTTTTAAGCAATAAAGGATATCTATCACTTAGCAGATCGAATGTTCCAGTTCCAACTCTAGTTGGATTCCCTAGAATGATGTTTTCCGTAACACCTAGACAATTTGAAAAACAAACCAAAAGTTAAATAAAATAAATAACAAAGAAAATATGAAATCATAAATTGAATTAGTAAATTCGAAATAATAAAGGAGCAGTTAATGAATGGATGAATGAAATGTGATCAAAAGGTTATAATTTTTGCTACGCTAACAGACAAATCATGGATTGGAAGCCCACTCCATCCACTTCGGTTCTCTAGGAAGCGTGTAGTATCATCACCCTTCATATAAGTAGTGTGGCAAAAAACTAAGTATATAAGCACGAACTTCATAAACGAGTTGTATTATTTATAAAAATCAATTTACTTGCTCTGCTGAATACAAACTAATAACTTGGCAGAGATACATTTACAGGGTTAATGGGTCTTAGGTTCAACATTCCAATCAGTGTTTTAATACTAAATTAACCTCCGAAACACTCTCAACTAAATAAAGAGGATTTTCTAAACTATCAAAACATGAATGAAAGCAACTAAATCATAAAAAATAAATGTATTTAAATATAACACCCACCAGTCAATTGATCATCTTGACAATGATAGGCAGCTTCAAACAAATGATCACCAGTTCGTTCAAACTATAAGTGAAAAGGAATCAATAAAAATTTCCATTGGACAATGAGGATTTCAAAAAACTAAAGTCGAGTTTAACGAGGACAATACTATCGAAAAACATCTTAAGCTAATGTGAATGAAGATTACTGGAACTGATTTCCATACTTTATTGTGCACGAAATCGAATACTACTTATTACCTTAAAGTAGATTGTAAAAACTATGGATTTTTTAGAATGACATTTAAAATAGATGAGATCATAAAATATACATCAAAGAAATGAAAAGTAAAATAAAACTCTTACAGAAGCTAAACAAAGTACACTATTTTTCGCTTTCGCCATTCCAGTTCGCTGATAACCGCATACTTCACCCTAAAAACATAAAAAAATAATGAATAATTAGTTCTACATCTGAAAATAAAAACATTTGACAGTATATATATATATATATATATATATATATATATATATATATATATTGGTTGTTTGAATCTTCAGACTAATGTTTAGGATTGTAATTGACCAATCTCATTTGGCACATCCTGTGCGGATATTGTCAGTAGGTCACAAGGTCATAGGCATTACCGAAGCATTTGTTATACACCTAGAAGAACCAGAACAATGTACCAAAAAAGACTTATCCAACATCTGCCACCATGGTGTTAATCTCTCGTTTTTTCAAAGCCATCATCTTTCATCCTACCTACTTCCCACGCAACATTTTAGTCTCAATCGATTAGATTTGGTATTTATGTTTTTTTAAGTTTATTCCAACTTTACCATTTTATTTTTCTCTCGTCTACGCAACCCGTTTTTAACAAAATTTCTGATCTTTATTTATTTTCTTGATGGATACTTAAACCCTATTTTGAGTTTATTAATGAGAATAACATTTTCTCCTTTTGTTTATTTTACCTTTATGTTACCATGTCTAAGAAATTATTATTATCACCACCAATATTGTTATTACCTGTTTATTAATAGGCATATCATTGGATTATTATTTTGAAAAAGGAAATACATATTTGAGATTATACAGAATTGAGAATGAATTCGCCAAAAATAGAACTCTATAATGAACCAATCTTTCGCATTTTTACGTCACAATAGGTATATTTCATTTACTTTGAAAATTGCAAAGAGATATAAAAGACATTTCACAACATAATTAAACTCTAACTTAACTACAAATCTAAGGTATTGAATTCTTCTCAATATTTATCCGTGAGTCAATCAAAAGAATTTGCTTTAATTTGGGAGTCATTTAAACTTATTATTATCACCATCATCTCATCAAGATATTAGATATACTTACCCTATTAGTCATAACATCAGCTAACAGCATTACATGACGTACATTAACTTCAACACCGTGACCTTCCATAACGGCTAGTAATTCATCAATAACAACACGTCGAGCTGCTTCCACACCCAACACTTGTTCCACTTCTAAAATATTATTACTTTGTGTACGTTCAGCTACGACGCCTGGTATACACATTACCTTGAAGAAGAAAAATAATACACTTTGCAGAACTAAAAAAGACTAACAAAACCACTGTTTACGAAATAAAGGAAAATTCTTTAAAACGAAGAAAAAGCATATCATCAAATTCTTGTAATCAGTTTTTAGAAAAATCTCTATTAATTAATTCATATCAGAAAGTTTTTGTGGATATTATGGTAATTTCAATTGACTCATGATCTCGACCGTTGAAATTAATTGTTTAAATATAGAAATGGATGTAATTTATTACAACACACAACCGTCAGTACCAGGAAAGGCTTTCAACAGTGTTGTTGAACCGGATGAAAGATTCAGTAGACGCCCAACTTCGAGATCAACAAGCTGGATTCCGTAAGGATCGATCGTGCACAGGCCAAATCGCAACACTACGGATAATCGTTGAACAGTCAATTGAATGGAACTCGTCACTATATACCAACTTCCTCGATTATGAGAAGGCATTTGAGTGTGGATAGAAGATTATGAAAACTTCTTCGACATTACGGAGTACCTGAGAAAAGCGTCAACATCATCCGGAATTCATACGACGGATTACACTGCAAAGTCGTGCATGCAGGACATCTGACATACGCATTCCAAGTAAGGATCGGAGTAAGACAAAGTTGCTTTCTCTCCCCCCTTCCTCTTACTTCTGGCGGTCGACTGGATTATGAAGACCACATCGGAGGGGAATCACGGAGTAAAATGGACAGGTTAAATGCAACTAGATGATTTGGACTATTGCATACACAACAAAAGCAGGTAAAGGCAAACTGTGTAGCAGGAGCCTCAGAAGCAGTAGGCCTCAACACACATGAAGGAAAAAAAAAATCCTCAGATTCAACACAGAGAACACCAACACAATCACATTTGATGGAGAAACTCTGGAAGTAGAAAGTTTCACTTATCCGCGTCGCATCATCGATGAACAGGGAGGATTGGATACAGACGTAAATGCGAGGGTTGGCAAAGCAAGGACAGCATTCCTACAGTTTAAGAACCTACAGAACTCAAAAAAACTGTCAATCAACATCAAAGTCAGTAACTTCAATACGAACGTCAAAACAGTTCTAGTGAACGGAGTTGAAACTTGGAAAACTACAACACCATCATCAAAAAGGCACAAGTATTTATAAACAATTGTGGTAGAGAACAAACCGACTCTCAGCTGAGGAGGAAATCAGGAAATGACATTGGAAGTGCATAGGAAACACATTAAGCAAATCATTAAACTGCATCACGATGCAAGCGTTAACTTTGAATCCTAAAGGGAAACGATAAATAGGAAGGCCAAAGAACACACTGAGTCTGGGATTGGAAGCATACATGAAAAGGAAGAATAACAACTGGAAAGGATTGCCCAGGACAGAGTTGAATAGAGAATGCTGGTGAACGGCCTACGCTACTCCATGAGGGGTAACAGGCGTTGAATTGAATTGTAACTTATTAACCAACTACGGGAATTTCTCATTCAGCTTGAAGCCATATAAGTTTGTGTGATAGGGATAATGACAATACCTCTCAATAGGCTAAAATGGAGTCAGTGGGAGGAAGGTTCAAATCTGCCACCTACCACTTAAACTCCTACATTTTTTAATTAATAAAAACCATTACTCCACAATAGAAAGAAACTATTCATGTGAGTGAAAGAGAAATAACACTGAGTTATGATAGTTCTTCAATATTAATGTTATTCTTTACAATGTTGTGAGTTATCTTCAAACTACACAGTGGTTGTGTTAACATGACGACAAAAAAAGACTGTTCACGTTAGTGGAGCAAGAAAACAATGACTTGAAAGGATTAGAAACGTTATATTTTTATTCACCAACTATGTTTAAAATAATCACTTACTATTTTATTTGTTTATTTATTTATTTGAACACATAAATACTGGTACAAGGAGGCACCAAATACATATGCGCCACACAAATCTAGTTTGATATGTGTGAGGACCGTGATACTGCCTGGGTGCCTAAACCGAAATAGGTGGTTTTCTGAGGGGGTCAAACCCTGAGCCTTCGACCTGAAGGTCTGATTCACAAGGCAGTGGAGCATAGTAAGGAGATGCAGTCCCATGGTAGCCGGTGACAAACGATTGGTTCATACGCCATTTGTTCCTTTAGGATACTGGAGCCCATGTGCACCAGTGGTTTGGAATCAGGGTTTTCCAACTCCCCTAGGTGGACTCTTCATGTCCACCAACCCGGTTAAAGCTCCGGACATTCGCTTGTCGTCCTCTCAATTCCGTAAACAACACCCCTGCCACGAAAAGACAGTGAGTAGGACTTAAGCACTCAATAATTTTAAAAATACATTAACCGGGTTAACACAGACATAACAGATAGTTCATCTAAACATAGGTGAAAATTCAGTTTAAAAAGAATTAATCAGAAAAGAAATCAAACTAATAAAAAACTCATTAAATTTTATCCATATAGGGAGTTTGTGGGAATTTTCGGGTCTTTTAATTTACGTCACGGACTTATCCTAGTAAATCAAGCGATGGAGTTCAGCAAGTATTGAAGAGCTACTTCGGCTTAGTAAAGGATTGAATAGTCCTAAACTAAAACGAAGCAGTTGTCCAGTGTCGACTGGTTTTAACGGTTGACTGACTAGGATCAGTGTGTAATCTAAACAATAAAACTCGCGAAATTTGTCTTGCAATAAATGGAATACAAAACATACCTCACGTAATCGAGCTCCTTCAACAAAAATTCTATGTTCACCTTTATCCTGTTGAATTACAACACGAGATACGCCAGGTATGCCTTTAACAATAACATCTTCAACTAATTTGACAACTGTTTCCAATGCATTCAAATCCACTGGATATACGAATATATAATCTTTTGCATAGGTTACACGCTAAATAAAGGAAACATGGAGAAGAGGAAGGAATTGCAAGCTGGTTTTTGAGCTGCTATCAACTAGATAATAACAAAAGTGGTGAATATCCTTTTTTAAAATTGCCTATAATCTAGAAAGGGAATTTTTATTACACCTTGAAAAAAGTTGAAGGAAATAACAATAATACAGAAGCACTTATTATTAACGTAAATAACATTAATAATACTAATTCAGTGAGGATTTTGTTACATATCAGTGTACTATTCTATGAGACATATTTGTGTGGCAGTTAAAGATATTATTCAGTAAAACAAACCTTGAGCAGGTGCAACGAGGTTCAAGTAGTAAATTCAAGTCCCTAAACAGTGAATTTAAAAATCTACGATTATAGAAACCAAACCATGATGGCTGAATTTTCGTAGAAGTTGTTCTTTTCACTAAATGAGGTTAGTTACTTACCATCGAATACTTTTCAATTTCAGTCACTTCCTGAGATGGATTAAAAATGACAGTTCCTTTAGACAATTAACTTGAAATTTTATTAGAGAAAGTGTATTAAAATAAAACGAGGTTATTTATGAAGTACTCTTATTATTTTAAGAGTAAACTGAAAAATCTAGATTGTTTACAACAGTCATAGTGAACAACACTTACCGATATTTTGGTCTTCTTTAACTTAGTTGTTTGAATAGCTGTAGCGACTTGAGGTGTTGTAATCCCACGTCTATCCATTCTTTTTTTATCTAATTTAATAGCAACATATACATATTCTGGTGTTAAACACTGACTTAATGATAATGATATATCTGCTAGTCGTGTTGGTTCAATAGACAATTTAACTTGACGCGCTAGTGATGCTGAGAATGGATCAGTTAAAGTAACACAAATTAATGGTGTTTTAATTTTGGCTGCTGCATTAACAATTTCACGCATTCGTGGGACACCCTTTTAAAGAAAATAAAAAAAATGAAGATTTCTTATAAACCATCCAATCTAGCTATAAATCAGTCAAAAGAAAACATACATAGATATTCAACGCCCCAAGTTTTGTTTTGAAACCTACTCTAATACTAGTAAGTAGAGTGCACCTGACTAGTTAATGACCAGGCCATGCATAAAAAATTTACATAGTTTTGATAAAAAATGTAGTTTGAGCCCATAACTCAAGTAAACATTTAATTTGGCTATAGGATTGTTTATTGAAATGACAAAACGGAAATATCATTAGAATAGACCGATTTTGTTTCATTGTACACCAACTAAATCTTTCTCGATGAAAATCGTACATAATCGACAAAAATAAATTACAGTTATCTTATTCACATTGTGAGACAATAATCAAGCAAAGAATTTTGAAAGTTGATCAAGACATTAAAAACATCTATTTAACTACTAGAAGAATACTTTAACATAAAATGAAAGTATCTGACGTTGTTAAATCATCTATAAGTTTGAAGGCCACTAATACTATACGGCTATTTCATGCTTTAATTAGGCTCAAATCGCGACTAGCTGATTGTCCTTTTTTCAACCAGTTAAAAATAGTGGAAGGATCAAGATGTTAGAAAAATTGTATTTATATCGTTGTAGTTTGAGTAATTAAAATATATACTTGTTCGATTTACATTCATGTTCTGATATGGGCTGAGTCGAGTTAAGTATAAGGTTTAACAAACACTATACAGTAGAAAATTTACGTCTGAAAAGTTAACTTACTTGTGTAATATTCATACTGGCTACACCAGCAAAGTGAAATGTTTTTAATGTCATCTGAGTAGCTGGTTCACCAACAGATTGACCACATAATGCACCAACAGCAGTACCTGGTTCAATTAAAGCTTTCTCATATTTCTCTTTAACATGTGTCAAAAATATACGTAGTTGTGTTCTAGTCAGACGTTCATTTTGATTGATTAAATTTGACCCATTTGCATTTTCTGTACACCATTCTTGCCATTTACGAATTTTCGGACAAACTGAATTGTGTATAAATTCTCTAAAACGACACAAAAAGAGAATAGGAGATCATTGTTTATAAACTGAAATATAAAAATTACACTCTTTGAATCATTGCATTACATAGTCTTGCTCGTACTATAAAAAAGTAGTAATGCACATATGTTGAAAGGAGTCTATTGGATAGGAGCCTTGTCTAAATTACTTTATGATTGTGATATTTCTAAGTAAATGACATGCACAGGTCGATCACGGGTATCTTCAAAGAAATCGACCTACGAGGTTGTGAACAATTATTGAAACGTGGTTGGAACATGTGTTACGTATACCTAACTACCGATTAGGGCGGGACTACAGTGACTAGCATAGAACTAGTCCCAAAAAGAGACTAATAGACGTTAGACAAAGAGATGCCAAAGATTCGTGAAGTAACTGACTTTTGTTGTTAGACGTGCAGAAAAGTAGTTATATCGTAGTTGAAGTCTACAAAATTACTGAAACTCATTTTTGAAAACATGAAAAGGCAGAATAGTTTATTGCTCGATTGGAGTGTTGAACACTCCTTACTTTTTGTTAGCTAATTTCATTCCAAACTTAAACCTTGATCTCCCCCATTACCAATTTGCAATTAGCGCTAAAAATTTAACTTTCGCTTTTTGGCCTTTTATATTGTTGAAATCCTCAAATCATGCTGCTTTAAAATGTAACAACTACGGCCGATGCACTTTTGGTATAAATTCTAATTCGCTCATATCTGTTTATGTGACTGTGGCGTTAAGTTACTCAGCTCAATAGCCATAATGTAGAATTTGTTGACAACACTCAATCAACATGTGAGGTAGCGGGAGTAAAATATGGTTAGTCACTAAGCGTGAACAAACAGGCACTTAGCTTACTGACTATCAAATATGTGATTTCATTTCTTTACATTGATTTCTAATCCGGACTCACTGAGAGTGACTGCTTGTAACTGTATTGAGTAAAGCATCATATAGCGATACTTTGGTTCTCTATTCTAGACCGTGAATCGTGTATCTGATAAAAATGTGTTCCGTATTGTGTACCGTCCCAGTATCCAATCTAGCGTAGCATAGTATACCGCGAAGAGTCAGTCAGAAACAACGTGAAACTTCGTACGTACATACATCAGTTCGAGTTGCCTTGCCACATTAGCACAGAGATGCAGTTGTCGATTCAAATCCCGTAGTGGTAGAGGTAGTAAGAGTATAAACAGTAATCGGAAAGGCTGGGGTTCGAAGATGTTATTCAACGAGTATAATCCAGTCAAATAAATTCGGAAAGAGAAAAAAAGAAAGGGACATGAAGAATTCAGAAGATTAAAATTTGGGCGAACACAAAGAGTGGATGCACCTGCACCATTGCAAACGATTTTGAGCCATGTCATTCAAGGTCTCCAACCATCGTTGCTATTGTCTCACGGATCTCAACCCGGCAGTTCTCACTTACCAACATGGCTCAGTCCACTTGACAGTGACTTCGTGGATTTGTGTAATGTTTCGGTCTGGTCGCCTCTAGCTTTTTTCCAACCTACTCCTACACCATAAAACATCGCACGTCGATGGTTAGACATTCATAACACGTGCCCCAGCCATTTCAATTGATGAAGTTTCACTACGTCATTAATTGATTTGGCATCCTTACCTAGTACCCGTTTCCTAAAAACTACATTACTTACTCGATGGTCCCAAGATATACGAGCAATGTTTCGAAGACACCTATGACCGAATTTTATTTATTATTTATTTTAACACATAGATATTGGTACAAGGAAGGAGGCACCAAATACATATGCGCCACACAAATCTAGTTTGATATGTGTGAGGACCGTGATACTGCCTGGGTGCCTAAACCGAAATAGGTGGTTTTCTGAGGGGGTCAAACCCTGAGCCTTCGACCTGAAGGTCTGATTCACAAGGCAGTGGAGCATAGTAAGGAGATGCAGTCCCATGGTAGCCGGTGACAAACGATTGGTTCATACGCCATTTGTTCCTTTAGGATACTGGAGCCCATGTGCACCAGTGGTTTGGAATCAGGGTTTTCCAACTCCCCTAGGTGGACTCTTCATGTCCACCAACCCGGTTAAAGCTCCGGACATTCGCTTGTCGTCCTCTCAATTCCGTAAACAACACCCCTGCCACGAAAAGACAGTGAGTAGGACTTCCCTGCCAGAGGCTATATACGCGTGGCCATGTGAGAGCATTTCAAGTGGCAGAGTGGACTCTCCCCACTCTCGGTCGTACCAGGGCATTTGGGGTGAGTTTATAGCCGAATACTAGTAACCTAAGAATATCTTCTACTCTTACCAGTCATGTTTCACTGCCATAAAGTAGGACGGACCGAACTGCTGCGCAGTAAACACGTCCTTTTGTTGATAGACGGATATCTCGCCTACGCCATAAATGACGCAAGTTGGCAAAAGCTAGTCGAGCCTTCTGTATCCGTGCTGAGATTTCGTCACACACCAGACCACAAGGGCTGATGAGACTTCCAAGATAAGTGAAGCGGTCGACACACTCAACTACTTCACTCCCTATCATTAGTTCGGGTGTCGATGCAACCCAATCCTGAAGCGACATTTTGCATTTCGAGGGAGAGAATCGCATCCCGAACATGCTTGCATTGTTGCTTAGAGTGGTCAGAAGACTCTGCATTTTGTCAGCGTCTTCACCAAACACAACTGTCATCAGCATATTCTAAGTCAACAAGTGAACCTCCCGGTAGAAGTTCAACCCCTGGAAATCTAGACGAGGAAAGTGTTATCTCTAAAAGTACGTCGACGACAAAGTTGAACAAGAATGGAGAGAGTGGGCAGCCCTGACGAACACCACTTGAGGTAATTAATTCTGATGACAGTTCGCCATAAGCTCTCACTCTACCAGTTGTGTTCGAGTAGAGAGCCTTTATAAGGTTAATGTACTTCTTTCAGTAACAAACACTGCCATAGAACCTTACGATCAACATAGTCGAATGCCGCCTTAAGGTCGAGAAATACTACCATTGTGGGGCGTCTGAATGTGTGTCTGTGTTCTATAACCTGACGTAGTGTGAATATCTGGTCTATACAACCACGTCCGGGCCGAAAACCAGCCTGGTTTTCTCTAGTCTCCTCTTCACGAGCTGTGGTTAGGCGTCGAAGTATTATTGAAGCTAATACTTTAGACACTATATTAGTCAAACTGATTCCTCTGTGATTGTCACAAGAGGACTTTTGTCCTTTCTTATAGACTGGCACAATCAGTGATTGAGACCAATCAGATGGGATTACGTCCAGTTCTCAGATTCCACATAAGTCCATCTCACTGCTCATACTGGACCGCCATTTTTAAAAATCTCAAGGGTAAAACTGTCAGGGCCTGCTGCTCTCCCACGCTTCAGATTTCCTATAGCTTTTTTAACTTCGTAAACAGTTGGAGGACTTGCTATTCAGGTTTGCGGGAAATTTTCCTGACTTTATGTCCAGTTAGTTATCACATGATTTATCCACCAACCAAAATACGACTTATACAATCTTGGCACGGTGCCAAACCAATAACGTTCGACCGGTATGAGCAGCCTAGCGTCCTTATTGATCCTATGTCCGCCTAGCCCGTCCACTTGAGTCCAGAACACCAATACCAGCTCCCACTACGAGAATCGAATCGAATCATTTATTTCAGACATACTGGGTTTATCTATCAAACAAACAAACAGCAACGCACCACAAAATAGGAAATAACATTCATACACAATAAAGCCCAAAAGTGGCTGTGAACGTGGGAGACAGTAGTCAATAAACTGAACATAGCTTACGAACAGTAAATCGCACAATAATAAACTATCTAGGTCAAAATAAAGCTTATAACAAGGGGAATACAGATATACATAATCTAGTTACTGAATATACACACCATAAGAATATATAAATAATGTTAGTCCATTAATAGGTCTCAGGAGTTTCTCGTACTTTAATCTTCACTAGGATAAAATAGGGATCATGAGAAACCGAAGTGTGGCTGAAGATTAATTTGACTGATCCCTAGTGTTCTGCCCATCGATCCAATCTCCTGGATTGAGAATAAATAATATGTCCATTTTTTCCGAAATAGTTTCGCCAACAGTTGAGTTTCTAATACCAGTTTCCTTAACAAGTCTGAACAGTTGTCTGCTGTTACCTATTGCATCAGAAAAGGAGAGATGGTTGGCAGTCCCCTGAACAAGGTCGGACAGGGCATCTGATGCCCACTCTCTCCTGAGGCATGAAACATCCGCTACTTTCGGATGGCCTTTTTACCCGACCGTTGTTGCTACCTTGACGTGGTGGTCGAGCTTGCCTATCGTGATGAAGCAACCGAGCTATACTGGCTGGAACAACCGTTCCTCAAGGCCCTATCATGTCAAACAGGTCGGTTGAAGAGCGGTAAGACTAAAAGCAACAAACCCAAGGTCCGAAGGCGAAGTCGTACTGCTGACTGTACAGAGGTGTGACAGCAGTAATTTGTTTCCTTCAGACAACCAGCATGACAGCGATGCTGCCTTCCCACAAGGAGGGGTGGGGTTAGAAAAGGTCGACCCTAAAAATGCACACCTCACCTTACCTCACGGATTTCCGTCTCCGGCGGTAAGGCCCTTTGAAGAACGGGGCTAACACGTCAAAAATCTCCCACGAAAAGGCCGTGCGCGACCGGCCTCAAGCAGTTGTCCCTTGGGCACTACAGTCACGCTCTCAGGTCACTGAGACCGCCTCTAATCCAATTTCCTTTTCAGGTACCTCCAGAAGAACCCTTCCTCGATGTGGGCAACCGGGAAGTGATAACCACCCTCATACCTCTAACAGCACCCAAGACCACTGTATTCATAATCAACCTTCCTCTTCAATTACTATTATTCCTCCTACATCGACTTTCAACTCTAAACTTCCTCTTTCGGCTTCCTCCTCAAGTGTCACCATATCCAACGATTCTAGTACTCAAAACACTGTCCCAGGTCTACTGAAACCTCGCTCCAAACTACACATTGGAGCCTTCAACGTACGCACCCTATGTCAAATCGGTCAGCAGGCTTCCTTGGCTAAAACCCTAGAGTCTCTTTCCATTGATGTATGCTGTGTCTCTGAAACACGCATACAGGATTCCAGTGTGGCCATTCACTTGACCTCACCTCGGCAAGACGGAGAGCCGACGAGATACACCCTCCGTGTATCTGGTGACCCGATGGCCAGTTCTCGTGGACTGGCAGGTGTAGGCATAGCACTAAGCATGAGGGCGGAACAAGCACTGCTAGAGTGGATCCCCGTCAACAGTTGTCTATGTGCTGTTTGGCTAAACGGCTCCGTAAGAACTCGGAAGGATAGGGACACACCTCGTTGCCTTTTCGTCGTTTCTGCCTACGCTCCCACTTACTGCAGTTCAGATGATGTGAAAGATGAATTTTACAGAAAGCTGTCCGAACATCTTCAGCAAGCTAAGCGTTCAGACATAGTACTCGTAGGGGGTGACTTTAATTTCAAGGTAGGTAGCTTAAACAAAACAGAAAGGCATTTAGGTGGAGATTTTAGCATTCCGGCACAGCGAACAGATAGTGGTGACCGTCTGCTGCAAATGTGCTCAGACAATCGCTTATTTCTAGCAAGCACAAATTTTAAGCATAAAGAGAGACATCGTCTAACATGGCGATCCCCTACACCAAACCAACTATGGACTCAAATAGACCATATTGCCATCAGTCATCGTTGGAGAGGGTCGGTAGAAGATTGTCGCTCATTCTAGAGTACCTGCTTGGACTCCGACCACGCCCTAATACGGGCACGCATCTGCTTGCGCCTCACTGAACGCAAAAAAGCCACAGTAAAAAGACCCATTAGAACTGAGTTGAGTGACGAGAAAACCAAAAGTAGGTTCCAAGAACAACTGAGTTCACAATTAGGTAGTTCTGAAGACGAGGATGACCCAGATGTTGCTTGGAAAACTATACAAAGAACCAGTGGATTTCTTCAAAGTCTATCACACTGATGGATTCTCGCAAACTCGTCCCATCAGGTTCCGAACATGATGAAGAGCGACAACAAATCAGATCTAGGTTAAGAAAAAGTCTAAGGAACGACCGTGAGCAGTGGTGGGCAACGAAAGCAAAAGAGATGGAAAAGGCAGCAACTGTAGGGAACACAAGACAGCTTTACAGACTAATAAAAGAAACTGGAATTAATAAGTCAAGTGTAAGTGAGATTATATCGGAAAAAGACGATACTCTCATCTGCTCCCAGTCCAGACGTTTAGAACGATGGGCGGAACATTTCAGAGAACAGTTCAGCTGGCCTTCAGCTACTCTACAACTACCCTCTATTCCCAGACAATGTGAATGGAACATTGAACTAGGCCCCCCAACTCTTGCTGAAGTTCAAAAGGCTATAGTTAATCTGAAACGAGGAAGGGCAGCTGGTCCAGATGGATTGGCTCCAGAGGTCTTTAAGGATGGTGGTCCAATTTTAGCGATTAGGTTGACTAATATTTTAGCTAAGATCTGGGAGTTAGACGTTATTCCATCTAACTGGTCACAATCACTTATCGTCCCAATATATAAGAGAGGGTTTAAATCATCCTGTGATAACCATAGAGGGATTAGTTTAACTAATATAATATATAAAATACTAGCTTCGTTAATTATCAGACGCCTAACTAAGACTCATGAACTGCAAACACGAGAGACTCAAGCTGGCTTCAGGCCTGGTCGGGGCTGCATCGACCACATATTCACCATTCGTCAGGTTCTAGAACATAGACATACTTATCGACGCCCGACAACGGTGGTCTTTCTCGACTTAAAAGCAGCATTTGACTCCATCGACCGCGAGATTCTGTGGCAGTGGGTGTCATTGAAAGGCGTACCCCAGAAGTACATAAACCTTGTGAAGGCTCTTTACTCGAACACTACTAGTCGAGTCAGAGCGTATGACGAACTGTCATCTACTTTTGCAACCTCAAGTGGTGTCCGTCAAGGCTGTCCACTTTCCCCATTTTTGTTTAACTTCATCATAGATCTACTGATGGAAATAACTTTCTCGTCGACTGAATTCTCGGGTATTGATCTCCTTCCAGGAGGTCCACTTATCGACTTAGAATACGCAGATGACATAGTCCTGTTTGGTGAAGACGCTGAAAAAATGCAGTCTTTTGGTAGCACTAAGCAACAATGCCAGAATGTTTGGAATGCGCTTCTCTCCCTCTAAATGCAAGTTGTTGTTTCAGGACTGGTCTGCGTCAACACTTGAACTAAGGATAGAGAGCGAAGTAGTCGAACGCGTTGACAACTTCACTTATCTTGAAAGTCTGGTCAGTCCTAATGGGTTGGTGGCCGACAAAATCTCAGCACGGATTCGAAAAGCTCGCTTGGCTTTTGCCAACTTACGTCACCTATGGCGAAGGCGAGATATCCGTCTATCAATAAAAGGACGAGTATACTGCGCGGCAGTCCGTTCTGTTTTAATTTACGGCAGCGAAACATGGCTATTAAGAGTAGAAGACACTCGTAAGCTATTAGTATTTGACCACAGGTGCCTTAGAAATATTGCCCGCATATGCTGGGATCACCGGGTAAGTAATAGTGAGGTTAGACGCAGGGTATTAGGGAATGATGGCAAATCAGTTGATGAGGTTGTGAATCTTCATCGACTGAGATGGTTGGGCCACGTGTTACGTATGCCCGAACACCGATTACCACGACGCACAATGCTGACTAGTGTTGGGGATGGTTGGAAGAAAGTTAGGGGCGACCAAACCAAAACGTGTCTTCAGTTCATAAATTAATTGCTTGAGGTCACTAACTTCTGTTCTGAGCCATGTTGGTAGATGCAGACTGCTTGGTTGGAGTCCGCATGACTATCATAACCAATGGTTGGAGACTCTTGGCGACATGGCTCAGAATGGATCACAATGGCATAGGTGTATACACTCTTTGTCTTCCTTTAAACTAAGAGATTAAAATCGCTTCATATCTTTCTTTCTACGTACTAAATCTTTCTTTCTGTACTATATTCTTATTGCAATCTTTCTTTTATATATTATCACAACTGAATTAACTACTTTTATGAATCCGGTATTCATCTCGTTGTGCTGATGCGGTATGGCAACCTGGACCGATGCACATATGTGCCTGGTCCTACGTTGTAGCTGACTGACTGACTGACTAACTGTTACCTATTGCCCCTGCCTTTTCCATCTTTCTTGCTTTCGCTACCTACCACTGTTCGTGATCATTGCGTAGGCTTCTTATCAGCCTACGCTTAAGCTGACTCCGCACTTCATAATATTCAGAGCCAGGTGGGATGAGTTTTCGTGCATCCATCAGTGCGGTAGATGCCGATGAGATCCAGTGTTTCTCCCTAACCTTATGGTTTACCTTACTAGCAGACATCACTGCTGTTTCCACAGCTTTTCGGATATCATTCCACGCTGCCTCAAGGTGGACATCACTTATATGGCTGCCTAACTGTTTTTCTAGTTGTTCCTGAAATATATTCTTAGCTTGGTTATCATTAAGTAGGACCCTAAGAGGTTTCCTTGCAGCGTTCAGTAAGACGCAGACAAATACGTGCTCGCACTGGAGCATGATCTGAATCTAGGCATATGTTCCAGAACGAGCGACAGTCTTCTGTCGAGCCTCTCCATCGGTGGCTGATAGCGATGTGATCTATGTCGGTCCAACGTTGGGACGAATTCAAGGGTCGCCATGTTAAAAGATGTTTTTGCTTATGCTCAAAGTTAGTATTTGCAAGAAACAGGCGGTTATCTGAGCATAGCTGTAACAAACGCTTGCTATTATCTGTTCTTTGAGCCATGATACCATTAGATCTACCCAGGTGTCTTTCCGTTTCGCTTAGTTTACCTACTTGAGCATTAAAGTCGCCAGTCACTATTGCTACATCAGAACGCCTAGCTTTTTGGAGAAAGTCCGAAAGCTTTCGGTAAAACTCATCTTTTACATCATCTGAGCAGCAGTCAGTGGGAGAGTAGGCAGAGACGATGAAGAGGCAATGACGAGTGTCCCTATCTTTCCGAGTCCTTACTGTTCCGTTTAGTCGGACAGCGCACAAACGACTGTCTACTTGGATCCAGTCTAAGAGAGCTAGTTCTGCCCAAGGATTCGACGCTATACCTACACCAACAAGGCCACGGGAAGCAGCATCAGGGCTTCTAGATACACGAAGCGTGAATCGAGATGGTTCTTTATTTTGATATAGTGAGGTCAAATGAATGACGCTACACGGATTCTGTATGTGCGTTTCGGAAACGCAGTACACATCGACCGCAAAGAGAGAGAAAATATATATTTTGAACCAACCGTTATATCACAACAGTAAGGACTATACAACATAAAACTGACTACTATTCGAAAACTGATTAGTGTAATGAATACAGTGGTAAAGACGAAACAGTCGACATTGCAGTATCATATTTTCGACTTAGATGATAACAATCTTTTTCCAAGGTAAACGCTGGCTGAGGTCGACAAATAATAGGATAGAATGAGCGTATAGAAAGCAACAAAGTTAGTGACTGATGCACAAGAAATTGCAGAGTTGCTCTTTAACTACATGTCATTATCTGTTATTACCTTTTCACGAAAATACATGTGGCAACTGAATTAGACATGATTAACTAAAACCATTATGTGCTACAACAGTATGAAATAAAACTAGTCTGTTACAAAGGTTAATAAAAATGGAAGACATTGACGTGACTTACTTGATTGCTGAACATAAGCGACTATCTAAATGTCGAAATGCGTCAAGTTGAAAGACAACCTCTACTGCTAGTTCTAACTCTTCAGCAGACATTCCAACTTCATGAGGGCAATCATAACTAGTCTAAGTAAAGAAATAACAATAATCAAGTAGACATGAAATATTACTCTTATATGTTCCATTTCTTTGATAAAATTCACAGGAAATGTATCTGTCTCCATTTCTAAAGGATCCAGACCATCGGAACCGTAACGGAATTGAATTATATCGCCCCGACTATCACGTACAGTATCATCGTAAGCCACCGCTAAATCTTCAAGAAACTATTTAGAAATGCAGAAGGAAATAAAATCCGTATATAAAGGATGGAAACAAAATTATCTGATGTATGGAAAATATGAAATGTTTATGGCATTAAGCAGTAGGTACATGAAAGTTTCAGTAAAACAGATAAATGGTCGAAGCACTAATTTCCTTTATTTCGTTTCCCAGTATAATATAAATGACTATAAAAGTGGTATCTCTAGTATAATTCTTTTGAGGACAGGATAATATTTAATGAAGCATAATGTTCAATTCAGTGAAAACGAACAAACAATTTTACAGTTAATCAATGAATTGCAGAATCTTAACAAATCCCAAGGTGATAGGTTCCGGCACGATATGATACCCGTCAAACAATTGTTGATAGTCGAAGAATATTTGAATCAGTCTGATTTAAAGATCAATGAAATAGTCGCAGATGCTGAAAGACTTCAGTAGAGTAAATCTTTTCTTTCTCTTCTCATTTTCCCTTTCTGTTAGTAAGAAACCTACATGCAATTCCTGATGCATACTACTTATGTCTGTCCATATAAGTAGCACATAACACAGTGCTATGATGAGACTTACAATAAGACTAAACAATCAGCCAATGCATCTACACTGACCCACTTTTTTAATTATGATAACAAAAATCTACAAAATGATTATCATAAAGATAATCTGAAAGGCTGTAAAAATACCTTGACCAGTCTTCGTTGCATATAACCTGTATCTGCAGTTTTTACAGCAGTATCCGTCAATCCTTCACGACCACTCATAGCATGGAAAAAGAATTCAGATGGTGAAAGACCTGAATAAAAGCTATTTCCAACAAAACCTTTTGCTTCAGGTGTTCGTGAACCTGGAGGGAAATGAACTAAACTGCGTCCATTAATGACATCTGGAACCCGTTTTCCACCAATTACTTGTTGGCCAACACAAGCAATCATTTGAGATATGTTGAGAAATGAACCTAAAAGAACAAAATAGGCAATTTAAATTAGGATTGCTAATATGAAGCAAAAGGAATTCCGGCGCACTAACCAAAACAAGATGTTCATATATTATAGGAGGAAAGAATTCAACGTACCTTTTGACCCTGACTGAGCCATGACAAGTGGTGAGTTCGATGGGTGAAGCTGACGTTTACAAGCTGCTCCTGCTTCGTCACGAATTTTCGACAACTCTTGACTTATATTAGACTACATAAAATATGAAGTGAACGACAATATAGTAAAATATAACTAAGGCATTGAACGTGAGGAATAATGCACTTAAGGAGTTAAGTTAATTACTCAATGTTTTTATTTTGATACACAACACCATCCAACCAGATAAACAAAAAGACACCAACACAGAACCTAACAGAGTTGCGCGTTGACTCAAGTTGGTACACCACATTAGCGCGAGACGAAAATAACAAGATGAATAGCAAAAGAGATCTAAATAATGTAGAACCAATGATAGTAAGAAAAATTTGACGTTGTGAACACAATTCAATTTGAAACAGTTTAATAAGTACTTCCAGCTGACGAATCCCAAAAAAGACGAAACGCGAGTCGTGGATTCAGTCTTTAACCACTAATCGGGATTATCACGTGGACCACAACCAGGTAGTTTGGATGGCTCAAACCGACAATCAATGACCACATCATAAATAAATGTTGTCTTGGTTTCGCTAACAGGCACCGCGCGTTGAGGTATTCGGTGGTTAGGGATTTGTAAAAAAAAATGTCCTGACGATCTCAGTCGATGAAGATTTACAAACTCACCGAATGATTTACCCTATGTCTAACCTACTAATTGCTCACTCGGTCATTCCACGAAAAGCGAGTATTACTTCGAAGACATCGATGATAAAAAACCTTCATACTAATTATGCCTTTTAATTTCATAGACCATGTTTTATAGTTATAAGTCAGAACAAAGCGAACTAATGTGCAGTTTATACATCCTTTGTTTGACAGGCGGATATCTTATCTCAGCCACAAGTGACGCAAGTTGAGGAAAGCCACACGACTTGAATGCCGAAAATCGCGTGGTACAATAACTATGTCTCAGTGCTTGGCTTTTTGAAGGAGGTCATGAAGTACCCTGCATAACGAGTTTTTTACTTCATGTGAGCCAATTAGTGGGAGCATAAGTATAAATGATGAAGAGGTAATAGGGTATTTCTATCTTACAGAGTTCTTACTGTGGCATTAAGGTGAACAGTACTTAAGAGACTATCTACAGGAATCCAGTCAAGAAGTGTTTGTTCGGCTTTCGAACTTAGTGGTATACTTACATTAGGACCGCAAGAGTTGCTGTCACGTCTCTATATACACGAATGGCATAGAGCGTCGGCTCTCGATACTGGTTAGGTGAGGTCGAACGAACAACTACGCTATGATCCTGTTTCGGAGACGGCCTGCATCGACGATACGAAGTTCCAAGATCTTCGCTAGTGACGAATGTTGCTGGATTTGATGTAAAGTTTGGACAGTAAAGGTAGTTTGAGGTCTAGTTTTAGAAGACCTGTTTGTTCCCGAGTACTAAATATAATTTAGAGATCCATGTACGGATACACTAGTGGGGAATAACTTAGCTATTTGATCTTAAACACGAAGGATAAATACATATAGTATTACAACATTCTATAAACGCAGAAAATCTATTTTATTTCCTCAAGTTATTTATCTAAGCTTTTCTTAATTTTAGAGAAACAACAGATGACAATGTGTGCTTGGTTAGCCAATTAAGAATATTTCTATGATTAAATGTGACAAATATTTAAAAAATGTCCGTTACCAGCAAACATCGACTGAAAAACTACTAATTAACAGTGATTGTTGAACAATTGTTTTGTTTTAGTTCAGAAAACTAGAAACGCACATAACGTTAAGTTGTTCGAAGGATGAAAAACGTAGTTTTGTATCTCGGTAAGAACATTTCAGTGTTGTGTCATTAAGCTGACAATGATCGCCATAGGAAATACGCGACTAACATCCATCTTGGATTGATCATTGAGTGTTCTACCACGCTTTAAGATCACATAATCTCTATCCCTTATAGGTTGTTTAAATAATGACAGCTGGTAACTATCTGGTTGGGGTCCGAGAGACGATAGCAACGATGGTTGGAGACCTTGAATGACATGGCTCAAAATCGTTTGCAATGGTGCAGGTGCATCCACTCTTTGTGTTCGCCCAAATTTTAATCTTCTGAATTCTTCATGTCCCTTTCTTTTTTTCTCTTTCCGAATTTATTTGACTGGATTATACTCGTTGAATAACATCTTCGAACCCCAGCCTTTCCGATTACTGTTTATACTCTTACTACCTCTACCACTACGGGATTTGAATCGACAACTGCATCTCTGTGCTAATGTGGCAAGGCAACTCGAACTGATGTATGTACGTACGAAGTTTCACGTTGTTTCTGACTGACTGACTGAGCTGGTAACAAGTAATCTTCAGAACAATAAATTCATAATAAAAGCATCAATTTGAATAATAAATAATTTACTTCAAGTGTATCCTCCATACTACATCCTGGATTACAGACTAGTGTATTCATCTGATATTGATTGATATAATCATCACAGGTGGCAAATCTGAAATGTAAAAATCAGCAAGATTATCAAAATGATTTTATTTATGGTTAACTTGATAAATTAACTGCTTTATGTACATGTAGCATGCGGAATTAGTCATAAGAAGTTGTATGATAATATCACTCAAATTATTAGACTAAATTTACAAAAATGAGACAGTCCATGGTAGAATGATACCTATTCTTCATTTTATCAACATCAACCATATGTTAGTAGATGCTACCGAATTTGCTCACCAGAACAATCCTACCACATAGGTATCATTACCAAGGTTTGATAATTTCAAATAAATTTATTTATTTATTATTTATTTGAACGCATAAATACTGGTACAAGGAGGCACCAAATACATATGCGCCACACAAATCTCATTTGATATGTGTGAGGACTGTGATACTGCCTGGGTGCCCAAACCGAAGTAGGTGGTTTTCTGAGGGGGCCAAACCCCGAGTCTTCGACCTGAAGGTCTGGTTCACAAGGCAGTGGAGCATAGTAAGGAGATGAAGTCCCATGGCAGCCGGTGACAAACGATTGGTTCATACGCCATTTGTCCCCGGACATTCGATTTTCGTCCTCTCAATTCCGTAAACAACACCCCCGCCACGAGAAGGCAGTGAGTAGGACTTCCCTGGCAGAGGCTATATACATGTGGTCATGCGAGAGCATTTCGAGAGGGAGAGAGGACTCTCCCTACTCCCAGCCGTACCAGGGCATTTGGGGGCAAATAAATTGAGCATTAGGCAGATTGTTATAAGTGAAAATAATATATTTTTAATATTCCAATGAGTAGAAATGTTAGATTTTCTGACGTTTCGTGACTCAGTGTAAGCCACTTCTTCAGAGAATAAATGACCAAAGTAGTAATAGGTACCCTTCAAACTTAGCTTACACTGAGTCACGAAACGTCAGAAAGTTTAATTAATCCTACCACATATTATTATGCTTATACAGCCATCTATGAGAGCAATAGTAATCACTACTGGAATCTAAGTCTCGAACCGGTTGATATTTTGGAAAAAGTATTCTTAATTTACCATGAACAAATTTGTTATGAGGGTAGTTTAAAGAGAGTCATTGATGGAACAGTGGCTTATTGGTTAAAAAACTTAACTTTCAGCTAGTAATTAGCATGTTCGTGCCTAGCTCCGCCTACTTCGCTTAAGGCAGCTGTGTAGTATCACTAGTCCTCACATAAACTGTGTGGCTTAAAGCCGAATACAAAAACCTATACTTGGTGAATTAATTAAATTAAACATTATTGATGGATACATCACCAAAACGAATAATATTATGGAATAAATGGAGTTTACAAGAAAATACAAACAATTTGAATTGATGAGTAAATTAAACTTACCCACGACTAATCAGTGCTGTTTTAGATGCAACAAGATCTGAGCTGGGCATTACTTCACCAAGTCCGATAGAAAAACCTCGATGTGCCAGGAAAAACAAAGCAATTCTTCCTAAACGCCACATAGCGTCCGCACAAGCTTCTCTACCATAATCTCGAAGTAATGTGTAGAATATACTTGACTTGCTTCCACCCCCAAGTAACTTTTTATCTACACATCCCGCAAGGAGCTCACTATTTTGAATGAGAACAACTGAAATACAGAAAAAGCCGTTTGCAAATATGCGTCACAATGAAATGTTCTTGTAATGGCAAGGAGAGCAGTATTGATAAATCTGGCTTAATTAAATAAATATTGATTCATATATGATTCTCTACATCACTTATTGTCTGAGGGTTGTTAATACTATCAATACTATCAGTCAAGAATAGGGATCTGAATAGTTAATTACTGTCCAGAGCCAAAAACAATGAAAGTTGCTTCATAACCTCTTTTAGTCATTTTCACTAATTAACTAGATTAAGTATGATTTTCTAAAGATGTTATGGAACTGTGAATCGGTAGTTTAAGTATTAAACAACTCAGTGCTGTTGACAAACTGTACACTAGGTGCCTCAGTTTGAACACCCAGGTAGTCACTTTGACTATTGTGTGAAAAAGTTTACTATAAACATTTTACTGAATTGCACTGTTATCAATGAGGTTTGATGACCTACAGTCTATTGTCGCCGAAATGTTTTAGTGTAAATATCAGGAATTGGGCTAAAAAGATTCTGTAGATATTATTAAATATCTTAAGTTAAATTCAGACTAAATTTTCACTTACAACCATCATTTGGACACATTTCTGAACCTTTCGATGAATACATAGACTTTGTTGGTACCCGAAGGTTAACCTTAATTCCAGTGGATGGATGCGGTGAAAGAATGAGACCAAATATCTGTTTACCAGTCCATAGAGCAACAGGCTGAAATAAGTTTAATACACAATCGAGAAATAATCATTACAGCATAATGTCTATTGAAAATGAATCATACAATTTGATTTATGTATAAGAAATTAGGCACTTCTTTTAAGAATACTACTTGAAAAACCGTCTATACATTCTTCTTAAACAAGTAACTCATAAGGTAAATAAGAGTGCGCTAAATAGCCCGTCTGATATTTATTAATGTATTGTTTATACTGTTTTCACAAAATATTGGTTCAGTAATTAAAGGACTCTACTTTAAGGAATTGGGTTTCAAGTTCAAATTATGCCGTCCATACTTTAGTTTCAATAGTTAGGTAGTATCATTAGTCCTCATATAAAAGGTGTAGTTCAAAGCTAACCACACAAAATTATACTTGATTATCAACTTTTAAAAATACGATGTTTTCAAAGCTGTTTAATGGTGAAGTCATGAATAAATGTTATCTAAATCAAGTAAATAAAACCTATCAGTTATTAAATAATTGGATCTATATATTCATATTAAGCAAACTTTAAGGTAAAAGGAAAAAAATTATATTTAATATGGTCTGGCCAACTTACCCATAATATAGCCGGTTTCGGTAAACTTAAAAGTCGACCCAAATGGTTACCAGCTAATAGTTGAGAGGCTAAAGTACAAGCCTGATCACGATTAAGGAAAACGTCTTTCAAGGTCAACAAATGTGTTGCAGTGATTAGGTCTTGAATTGGTGAAATTAATGGTTCACCATTTTTAGGGCTAACAATATTCTTGAGAGACTGTCAATGAAGATGTCAAAGAACAAAAAATTCAACAGGATACTTTAATAAAAGAAGCTATAAATGAACTGTGACGAGTATTTATATATGCAAATTACAGAACAAATAGTTCAAAGAATGAATTCCCTTCAACTCAAATAAGGTTGTGCATTATAAAGAACTTCATTTTTAAATTGCCGATAGTTATAATGATACTAAAAGGGTAAACAGACAAGTGAAAAGGATATGTAACCTGAGTATCAGCTCCAGTTATCACACTTAATAACGATACATGAAAGGGAGAGTTAACTAACAGTCCTTAATATTTTTATTATTGTTAATACTGTCATTGTTATATCAATTTCTCGTTTTATTTACAAAACAATTATCTTTCACTTTTGTATGGCATATCAAGATCTTTTGTGTTAAAATACATAATCAACTATACAATCGTAAAATAGTTGATTGTGAGATTCCAGCTTAGTGGTCTAGAAGTTAAGTGTCCATTCGTAAGACCGAAGGTCCTGCATTCGGGTCTCGAGTGCGGGATTGTGGATGCGCACTGCTGAGGGGTCCCATACTACGACCAAATGGTCGTCCAGTGCTTTCATGTTATCGATGACGGTCTAGCTTAGACTGACCCGTGATCTCAACAGTAAGAATGATGTATCAATCAACATGTGTTATTATAAAAAAGAAAATAATACATCAGTCAGTAGAGATTAAGTAGGACAGTAATTTTGTGATCATAATACTTGGCTTTCAACCATCTGGCTGAGTATTTGAATCCTGCGTTATCTACATCAGACTTGACAGCTGAGCAGTATCACTTAACCCTATGATAAAGAGTTCAGCTTATAATCAATTATATGAAGCTAAACTTGATTATTTATGTTTGTTTTTTACAAGCTTAGTCAGATTGAATTGCAAGTTATCAACACATCAGTATGGTATAACAATAATAATAAATAAATATATTTGTAATATCCCAATGAGTAGAAAAATTAATAATAATAATAATAATAATAATAATAATAATAATAATAATAATAATAATAATAATATTGCGAAAGATACCGACATACCAGCATAAGATGTTTTGCTTCTGCACGAGCTGCTTCAGTTTGTGGAAGATGTATATTCATTTCATCCCCATCGAAATCTGCATTGAATGGTGTACAACAGCATGGATTGAAGCGAAAAGTTCGAAAAGGTTTTACAACGGCCTGAAGATAATCAGCAAAATAATTAACTCATAATGCAACCAAACAGAAACTTTTATCAATCAAATAACAAAATTATCAGAAAAAAAACATCACAAAATCGCTATCTTTCAATCACGAACAAAAGTAATAGTAGGCAGTTCCTGGTTAATTATCACATGTAAGCTTCTAACAAGTGGTTATCGTGAACCAGTAACCCAAAGACTTATATTTCACCGTTCAAAGTGTTGTATGTTTAGTTCTTGTTCCAGTAGAGGCATTAAAAGTTACTGAAATTTAACCAAATCGAACTGGTGAATCTCATATTTAACTTAGTTTCAGTCAGAACATAGGCATTATTAAGTGAGGAGTTCGAGAAGTCAGTCAGCTACAACGTAGGACCAGGCACATATATGCATCGGTCCAAGTTGCCACATCTCATTAGCACAAGATGAATACCGGATTCATAAAAGTAGTTAATTCAGTTGTGATAATATATAAAAGAAAGATTGCAATAAGAATATAGTACAGAAAGAAAGATTTAGTACGTAGAAAGAAAGATATGAAGCGATTTTAATCTCTTAGTTTAAAGGAAGACAAAGAGTGTATACACCTATGCCATTGTGATCCATTCTGAGCCATGTCGCCAAGAGTCTCCAACCATTGGTTATGATAGTCATGCGGACTCCAACCAAGCAGTCTGCATCTACCAACATGGCTCAGAACAGAAGTTAGTGACCTCAAGCAATTAATTTATGAACTGAAGACACGTTTTGGTTTGGTCGCCCCTAACTTTCTTCCAACCATCCCCAACACTAGTCAGCATTGTGCGTCGTGGTAATCGGTGTTCGGGCATACGTAACACGTGGCCCAACCATCTCAGTCGATGAAGATTCACAACCTCATCAACTGATTTACCATCATTCCCTAATACCCTACGTCTAACTTCACTATTACTTACCCGGTGATCCCAGCATATGCGGGCAATATTTCTAAGGCATCTGTGGTCAAATACTAATAGCTTACGAGTGTCTTCTACTCTTAATAGCCATGTTTCGCTGCCGTAAATTAAAACAGAACGGACTGCCGCGCAGTATACTCGTCCTTTTATTGATAGACGGATATCTCGCCTTCGCCATAGGTGACGTAAGTTGGCAAAAGCCAAGCGAGCTTTTCGAATCCGTGCTGAGATTTTGTCGGACACCAACCCGTTAGGGCTGATCAGACTTGCAAGGTAAGTGAAGTTTTCGATGTGTCTAACTACTTCACTATCTATCTTTAGTTCAAATATTGACCCAGTCCAGTCCTGGAGCAAAAACATGGGGGAGAAAAGCATCCCAAACATCCTAGAATTGTTGCTCAGTGCTACCAAAAGACTGTATTTTATCACAATTTTGTCATCTGAAATATGTACAAAGTATGACAAGGACTACTTACTCTGAATGCTTGAATAGATACACGATGTAGTGAGGGTTGACGGTTAAATAGTACAATATCATCATCCAATAAGTGTCTTTCAACTATATCACCTGATTGTAAATATTTTGCCACATCTTCACGTGCACGTTCAGATGCCAAGAAACGTTTTACTACATCAGAAGTACCAGATGCTTCGGCTTGACGTTTCCTCTCACCACGTAGTTTATAACTAACAAACATAGCTCCAGGATAGTTATTTGGTCCATTTAGTACAAGAGATCGGAGAAAATTCAGATTGAAATCAGTCACACGTTCAGGATATGTTAGCAATTTTGCACAATGAACTGGAATACATACCTGAAAAGTATAGTATACGCATTCTCTAGTTCACATATTTCAAATAACAATTACACATTTATGTGAATCTACTCCTGATCTGGACGTTCTCATAAAGCGATAAACACTGTATAAAGATGTTTCTATATCTGGCTATGACTGTTTTGTGAAAGAAGAGTTGTCCGAACCGAAATGAGTGGAATTAAATTGAGATAATCGTAAATAATAATAATGGTAGGAAAGTGTAGGTAATATTGCTGAAAATCAGCAGCACCAACTTCAATATTAGTTATTTCTGTCTTTCTAAACTTCGAAAATATTATTATTCTGTACTTTTCACTTACAATTTCACTTATCTCTTCTGATATGTACAGTTGTCCATTGCTGCTAGCATTACTATCCTCGCTAGTCTGCTTCTACTGTCAGGCCTATTTTCGTATTGTTGTGAAGAGAAGCAACTTGAGTAGACACATGTTTACGTCAGATCCTACGCCATCTATCGCATTAATGAAGTCCGAAATTAAGATGTACTGGTTGGGAAATGAGTGCTATTTGTCACAAATGCAAAACATAGCACATTACACAGTCCTTGTCAAAACTAGATATGCGTTCAAATATTTAAGGGATATTGTAGTCCCTAGTAGCTATAAAATAATGAAAGAAATAACCTAACTTTTAAAATCATATGATTTGGCACATATTACCAGTCTTCTTTAATGTTGCTTGTCTAGGAATAAAATCCACAAAAACCCCTTCTGATAAAAATCAAAAATGTTGATATCGTGTCAAGACTAAAGATGATCTTTCTGAATTACTATGTAAGCAAAAAATGAGCTAAAAGTTAAGTTTATCACACCACATTCGGATAGAAAGAAAACAATATATTGTTAAATAAAAGTAATTTAGATACAATTAACGTTACTCAATCCGATAGCCATTTATTGATTTATGTACCCATTCAATTTGAGAGTTAATGCTAATATCTAGTTGCTCAAATTAAAATGATGTTTACGTTTGAAAACTAACTGTCGAAAATCGATTGTCAGAATTGTTGGATCTAAGTTGCGATATCCGGAAACATATCGTTTGTATACCTGGGTAAGTTACTTTAGGAAAATTAGTGCCCGGAGTCCCTAATTCTGAACAATTACCTGAACCCTAATGGTACTCCTAAGGAAAATGTAAACTGCGCAATTTACTTAGATTTGTTTGTAATAAAGCGATCTGTGATATCAACATAGTTGATGTTATTCGGTTACTTATATTACTCACTGGTATATCTTGATGGTGTATAATGCGTTTCCAGATGCCTAAATGTAACTTTTAACGGAAAATTTATCAGTTCAGTGAGGGATAAATTACGTAAAAAGATGAAAACACGAACTAGAAGAGTTATAAATAGTTCTACTACTTTCTGACGAGTTGAAAACAACTACCACATGAACTAAAGTTTTTAAAAAGTGTAGAAAATAAGCAAACCTCATCAATTCGCATATTTGGATCTGGTGAAATAACAGTTCTGGCGGTAAAATTCGTTCGTTTACCCAATAGGCTACCACGAAATCGACCATGTTTACCAGCTAGCCTTTGAAGTAAACCACGCATAAACTTATGATCTTGAACAGGAGGCAAACCTGATTGTTGTGAATTAATTAGCCGTGCAAATTCAGCGTGTAAGTTATCTAGGCACGCGATTTGATCCGCCTCCCCGATATCTTCTTCAATTGTTGCTGCCTGAGCTAATATCCATTGATACATTTGAGTAAGATCATCTTCATTACTTTAGAAAAGGAAATAATGATACAATGAACACCTGTATAGTAAAATGAATACTGGGAAACACAAATTTGCACTATATCTACAAAGAAAGGAAAAATATAGATATGGAGATATAATTACATCTGGATCCATAAACTATGCAAATTGGTACCCAGATGTGCTGTAATGCTGAATTGATTGTACCGAGTAAATTAGGCAACATTTACCGATCGAAGTGGCACCACTGTGTAATGTATTCGACACAAACACATTCATAAAGCCAAAAAAGCCTAGTATTGCACATGGCGAGACATTTTTGGTATTTACTTTCGAAACATATCAAAGGCAGAAACTCCAAACGCAGGTTCCCGAGACATTTTGACAACAGATACCATCAAATCTGATCCCGAATTGTTAAAAGATAAGAATGTAAACTACTAAGATGCAGAAAACTACATATTATCCCTAGACAACTGTGTATAGTTGTGGTTCATATGTTTAATGATGCTACTTTTAAATATTAAGTACTGGATTCAAACACACCATTATCTACCTATCGAACGAACTTTTGTCTATGACTTCGTCTCTGTACAGCTATCTTTAAGATTTTGAAATTAGTCTATAAATCAGGTCTTGCCATCCTCACACGTCAGCTTATATTAAATATCTATGATTGTTCAAAAGATGGGAAATGAGAGAATTTTAAACGCAGGATGGAAGATTTTGAAATGTTTTCCTTCAAAAGGTTAACTTCCCGAATGTTTAACAATGGTCATTAACTTTTCCATCTTCAGTTGTAAAAGCATTCTGATTCCCACGCAAAAATCTTTGTCAGTTAATTATTCTGCACTTTACTACTTGTTTGTCTGATTTGTGTTTTGACTAGTGAGGTAAGATAACTTACGGGCGAAGACTAAAATGTCTCGTCTTACTGGATTTGCTAATGTAACACAACCTGGAACCTCACGGGTTACTGCTAGTCCCAAACTGGGGTAGAGGGTTGGATGTGAAATACAGAACCCTAATACAAAAGATTTAACCAAAGGAAACCAACTGAAACCAACTCCGATAGCCAGAGCAACAACTAACATACGTATGTGGAATATCCGGAGGAAGTGGGATACAGGGAGGGCAATTCAAATACTGATAAAAATGAGAGGATACAGCCTGCCCCTGCTTTCAATAAATGAAAACCATTATATCTAAGTTTAACAGGAAAAACTAACTTCATGAAAAAGATTTATTCTGGTCATGAAGAAGAAAGTGGGTCGCGAACAGAAGCATTCACGGTAATGTCCAAAGAAGCACAAAAAGGGCTCATGGGGTAAGAAACGTACGGCTCTAGGATCATCAGATCATTCTTTAAAACAGAGAAGGAAAGGATTGGAACGAATTTCATCCAGTGCTATACACACAAACGATAGGATTAAAGATTGTGAAGACGGTTTTATGAGAGGCTGGAGTTCATCTGACATAAATGTTTGGGAAAACACTTGATCATTTTGATGGCGGTCTGAACGCCAAGGTCGGGATGAATGACTCTGGGATCGAACTCATAATTGAGCGACATGAACTAGAAGAGATGAAAATGGTGCAAGTCTGACGAATCTATAAGCTTTTAACAACATGGTCACAGGTGATAGCGTTTAGCTCTAAAAGTGCATACACATCTATGTGGGTTTCATTGGACAACAGTGCAGAAAACCAGATGGATCATGGATCCAAAAATAAAAGAAATTCAGGTTCATGGAAGACGATACGGCTTTAGATTATACGCATGGAGATTTCTAAGCTGAAACTGAAGCTAAAGTCATTTGGACACTTGGGTGAGCAGCATTACAAAAATTTAGTACAGTCATCTTTTGAGATACCGACAAACAACGAATTCAACATAGCTCTCAGCAATATGTCCCAAGCCTTACAAACTCGAATTAAAGAAGGGGAAACCACTATGGAGAACATCTGGAAAGTGATTAAAAAATCAATGCCAGGAGATGCTGGACCACAAGGTCCATCAGCATGAGGAATGAACTTCCATAAACAGCCGGGAAGAAATTTGAGAAAAGCAAAATACGAAGATGAAAGTCAACAACAGTCAAACGGTAAGAGAAAACCAAGGTACGCCGTGAGTGTGCAGAAACAACAAACGAGTACATAAAAGTACTAAAGACAACAAACGGGAATATGTAAAAAATCTGGCGATTACAGAAGAAAAAACTGTGAGAAGGAAATATAAAGAAACCGCATGATACAACCAAGAAACTTGGGGGGGGATATTAGACCAGAGCGACCAATCAAGAACAAAGGAGGTAAATCGGTTATTGAGGCTAAATAGCAGTGGAATAAGTTGGGTGAGAACTTTGGAGAGCTCTTGAACAGATCATCACTCCTGAACCTTCCGAACATTGAAGAAATTGGCAAAGCCATCAGATAAATCAAGAACGGTATAGCAACATGACTAGAAAGTATATCATCTGAAGTAATAATGTCGCATATAGAGGCAAGTGCAACGGTGTTTCGTGTTCTCTTCAAACAGGTCTCGGAGCAATAGTAAGCACCAACAAACTGGGAACAGGGATAAATTGTAAAGATGATAAAGAAGATCCTAGTGAGTTTGAAAACCACGGAGGGACTACACTGTGGTCAGTACTAAGCAGTTTTTAACAGATCAACAATCTGGCTTCATTAGGGTCGATCATATGCCGATCAAGCTGTGACACTGCTTATCGTTGTTGAATAATCGACTGAATGGAACTTATCCCCATGCATTAAATTCCCTGATTATGCGGAAGCATTCGAAACTATAGACAGAAAAACTGTGCAGTACTGTGGGGTATCTGAGAAGAACGTTCTGAACATACAGAGCTCCTACGACGGACTGAATTACAAGGTTGTGCATGGAGAGCAGCTTGCAAGTGTATTTCAAGTGAGGACTGGTGTCAAAAGGGGTTGATAATCCCCATCTTTCCTTTTTCTGCTGGTTGTTGACTGAATTATGGCCACATCTCGAGAAGCATGGAATACAATGGACACAGCTAAATTTATAGATGACTTAGCCCTATCATTGAATACACAGCAACAAATACATGTGAAGATAGCTAGTGGAGCAGAGGCCTCCGCAGAACTAGACCTCAACATGTACGAGGAAAAGAGAAACACCCTGAAGTACAACGCAGGGGTCTCGAACCAAATCACACTCGATGATGAGACTCTGGAGGAGGCGGAAGCCATTTACGGGCCTAAGCAGCATCAATAATGGGCAAGAAGGATACGATATGAACGTGGAGGGAATTGACAAAGCAAAGACATTATTCTTGAAGTTGAAGATCTGGAGCTCAAAAGAACTGTTACACTAGACCAAGGTCAGGACTTAGACACCGTTAAAACTGAGCTAAAACTTAGAAGACTACCACCACCGCCACCAAATCAGTAAAGGTATGTACGTTAATCCGTCTACGAAATACACTCTAGATTCATCGGCCAAAGATCATCAGGGACAAGATACCCTCGCGAAGAACAAACCAGCTGCCAGCTGAGGAAATTAGAAGACGCTGGAAGTGGATAAAGCACACTCCGCATAAACCATTAAAATGTATTACGCGGCAAGCCCAAGCTTGGAATTTTTAAGGGGAAAGGATAAGAGGCAAATTAAAGAACATATGGCGCTGGGAATCAGAGGCAGACATTATGGTAATGAACACTTGACAACAACTGAAAAGAACCAAGGACCGATTTGGTTGAGGACCCCTGGTGGATGGCATATGCTCCGTGAGGGGTAGGAGGTTTAACTCACTGAGGCTCGTTAAGGTGCATCTGGCTTGCAAATGCATACAAGTGATATGCCAAACTAATTTTTAAAAAAATTAGAAAGAGAACTTACGTTCCACTACGGACTTCGGAAACAACTGATGGTCTGATAGCACTTGGGCAGACAGGTACTCTCTGAACAATTAAGTTTCGTGGGTGAGTCATCCATTGAGAATCAGAAGGCATGAGGAGTAATGGCAAATCTTCTTCTGGAATTTTAGAAAACAATTGCAGAGCCTTTCCGGGTCGTATAATCTCCTAGAATTGCACGGAATAATTAGCTAAATTTTTACAAATATTAATGCAATACCTATGTATATTTTTGGCTTGTTAAGATTCCTAAAACATAGCAATAGCAACAAGATTCTTGGTTAATTTATAACTATGTGCTTAATACACTTTCAATTTACGCAGTGAGTGACGAACTGGGGGGAATTCTACTTTAATCAGTCTGTTGCTGAAAATCTACGATACCAAAGTATGGATCAACGAAGGTTAGGATACAAATTAAGCAGTGGTATATTAATAACCAGTGTTTGAAATATTTAATCTACCTACGGAAGAGGCTATGGAAGTAAAGCCAGAATTAAGATTAGTATGAAGACTGTACTCATCCTAAAGATACTACGAAATAAACTAGGAACAGATTATCTCATGAAAAACGTTTGTGAGTACTATAAACTTACTAACATTTTAATATAAATAATAAAACAGTAGTTCTACAGTTATTTGCCGTTCTTCAATATTCAGATGATTTAAACTATAGATACTAAGTACTGGATGTCGAACCTCTCCGGGATTCAACACAGTTGAACTGGTCAGCATGATTATACAATTATACGGCTTTACTGTCAACATGTCAAGATTGATTCTACGGATCCTTGAATGTTTTGGTATTTATGTCATCAGAATATGAATTGGCGAAACTTTGTGAGTATGGAAAAGTTTACGTTCGAAGGTTCATATACAAACATCGAAGCACGAAATAAAGATATACTACAACGGACTCGTTCTTATAATCCAAATAATGGTTATGGTGGAATTATCTAAAATGAAACAGCCACAAAACTTCACTATCTTGGTATTGAACGACGTGATAATTAATGTAATAAAAGTAATAATCGAAATAGATACCTAGGTATACATAAGCCTTTAAGTGTACAATAAAGTGACTGCTAAGGGTGGCAAAACGAACTGAATTTTAGTAAACCAACCACAGCAAATAGCAACTTTTACACACTATAAATATTGTATACGAAAATAGTGACAAAATCCAAATATACCGATCACATACCAAACCTTTACGAACAACTGGCGCTAACTCCGTATTTTCTGTGATTACTTTTGCGAAATCATTTACATAATCATCGACTTTTGCTTTTGCATGTCGAAATATATCATGAACGACGTACGAAAGACTCGTACCTTTCGTAACAACACCTACAAGAGCATAGAGAAAATAACAGGACAAACCATTAAGCGCTGAGCAGAACGGGCAGACATGTATCCTGCTAGACAATTTGTGTATCGCCTTTCTGAGTTGTTTTTTATGTACGTAGTCCAAACTTGGGTTAGAACAACTAATCAAAAACCTGGTACGTTGTTGCTCAGAGAGGAGAACACGTGAGCAAGTCTAATGGGTCGTTTTAAGTAAATAAATGACCTTACTTTGCAGATAGTCTGTAGTATTTTTACTATATGCCAAGTATATCCCACATGATAAATTGGCGTCGGTAAATCGAAGTACCCCCAATGACCAATACATGTTTGATAGTCCAAGCCACAAGTAGCGCACAGCTCATCTCTCTTGTTTGCACCAAGTCTTGGATCTAAAAGGCCGTAATCTAAGGCTCGTCTATTGCTTTGCCCTTCCGCATAGAGAAGACACTTTAGAACCTGAACGTGACTTAATCTTTTTAAGTCACCTTCATTGCACAGCTGAAATTTTATGTTCTCTCTGAAGAATTAAATTAGTCGAGGATAATACATACACAATCCTAGGTAAATCAGGGGGTTTGTACAGAGACGGCATTATGCACGTTGTACCGAACACATTACAAACCGCGCTGTGATACCTCAAGCAATCAACTATGGTAAGTAGAAACAGAGAAGTGTTAGTTACTTGAGCTTTGTGTCTAGGTTGTATAGGAGGTTATTTTAAAATGCAAGGGTATGTGAATACTTTATTATTCTGAAGATACTCCTCGATCCCGTGCGTCATAAAAACATGCCGTATCGTCCTCGTGTTGGATGTTGTATATATAACCACATTTATATCCAATATCTATTATTTGTTGTGCATCACTAGTGAATGTGCTTCATCTACAAACAGATCGGTACTTCCGTTACATTTTGGCGTGCAAATATCTACTGCTTATATAGTTCCCTTTTCTACTTGATTGACCACAGAATTTGACTGACGAGTGTGATAGTATCGTGTACCTCCTTAGATCGCTCTCCACTGCGTGGGACAATTGGCTTGGATTACCTACCAAAACTTTTATTGGCTCAATACTATTTTTAAGCGAACTCGTATAGTGGTGGTTACCCAGCAAGGAACCATCAAGTATAACAGTTGTTATTATTTTATCTTTTAGTATACAAAATTTTGTGTAGTGTTATATATGCCGTTTGATCTGGGTACTGCTGTTCGGCTCTTTCTATTTATTGTTCGTTTTGAATATCATCGCATCTTGATTAAGCTCTCGTCACTACATAAGTGATGTTGCCGACCATGGAGGGTGACGACAGACCCCAAGGGACAACTGGTTGTGGCTGGTCGTACATGTGGGGAAGGTTTTGTGTTGGCAACTCACTTGGAAAAGGCTTACCACAAGACACAGAAATTCGTAGGGTAAAGGGTGACATTTTTGGGGTTAACCTTTTATCACCCCTTTCTTCCGTTGTGAGAAGGCAGTATTGCCGTAGACGCTGATTGTCCGAGGGAAACATCCTACTGCTGTCACACTCCTCTACAATCAGCAGAACGATTTCACCCTTGGACCTTAAATTGCTGCTTTAAGTCCATCTCAAGCCGACCTACCGAGCATGGCAGGACCAAAAGGAACATGTGTCCCAGCCAATATAGCTCGGTTCAGTCATCACGGTAGACAAGTCCGACAACCACGTCAAGGTAGCAGATGCAGTCGCGTATGCTCTTCTCCTACCCAGATCTAAAGGAACAAATGGCTCACTATTTCACCCGACAACGTTGAAGCTTTTATGTGCCCACCACTCATTTCATCATTTACTAGAAGAATGTGATATCTAAGTCCAGACCGATATTATTGAGTTTGCCTATGTTACCAGACTAACGGACTTGATGCAATGTAGTTGACAGGACATTCAGTCTGTATAGACTTGCTCCGAAGTTACGTCACTAATTATCCTGACTTGCCCTATCGAAGAATTTAAACTCTAATTCTTTGTAGCAATCTTTGAAAAATATGTATAGTCTTACCAGCAATATGTATTTTAAATGAAAAGAGAAGTAAATAGGATTTTTAAGCGGCCATGATCAAGTTCAGATATTTCGATGGTGTTTTCGCATCAGCATTTATTACCCTCCATTATTTTTATCCACTGTTTAACGTTTAAGAATAAAACTAACGAGATAATGCACTCTCAGCTGGGATGAAATAAAAGTCACCCTGTGGCTGAACTTATCGACCTTTTGTTGCCACAAGCCTGGGTGACTCAAAAGGGGGCCGAAATTTCACATTTAAATACGGCGAGGTGATTTGTTCGTAGGTTACATGTTTTTCTACTAGACGGGAGTTTGAAAGTAACAGACATTTTAAAAGAAATATTTATACTGATGTATCGTCTAGAATAGCCGTTTATTGTCCAGTATTTTATGGTCAAATAATGCTTTTTCGTTCTCTTTTGGTGCTTTCTACCCATGTCAATAGTAGCATCAATCATGAAATCCGAATACGGTTTATCTTGACATAGGTGTTCTTTTGCGACAATGAAAGCTTTGTCAATGGTTTAACAGATGAGAAGACTTTGAAAATGGCTTTATGAATCTAAACAATCGATAAAATCTTCAATGTCGTAAACACATATGGTGTGTATCCAAATAATTCATTCACAGAGTAAAGGAAACCATAATGAGAGTTGGGAATATGTGCTCTTCGTTTTTAAACATGTACTTGGTACTAAGAAAAATCAATAAGGTGTGGGCCGTGTTACGTAACCGTGGGCACACTATGCGTGTTAGGTCACAAGTTTTCGCGCACATGTAACATATTGTCGTGGATTTTATGTGTCGTTATTTATCAGCCATTAACAGCCTTTTTTCCATCATACGTAACTTCTCGTAATCTTTGTGATTGGAAGATAGTTTTTATTTCAATTTATAAGTAGTTTGACGTATTTCGTGCTCACCACCTAAGTAAATATGTAGTTGGCGTAATATGGTTATTTTTAACAATACAAAGCCAAACAAGTCAAATCACCATCTTTCTAGTCAAAAATAGATTACGGATTGAGCTTTCATGAAAATAAGCCGTAAAAAGCATTATATATGGTTCACCTCCTTGATTATGGTGACGGCAAACATAGATGTCCGTATTCGTTAATAAAATGTAATCAGAAAGAAGTAAGCGTTAAACTAACTATGAATATTATATAAATTGTTCGTATTTAGCCATAAAAGGTTATTTGGACTATAGGTAGCATTGTTTTGTACTGAAGTGACATATTATTGTGTAACGTATCAGAGAAAAATTATGTGAGTAACAATTGACGTTGATAGTCTTTTTTACTGGCTTTCTGAACGTATACAGGAACAGTGTATAACACCACATTAAAAAGGCACAAAATCTTCATAAGTAAAACGATGGGTGTCTCTTCTGAGCATGGTGACAAAACCATGTCGTACTTAATACTGATTTATGATGTGTCTGTGATAGGGTTGACGAATAATTTTCTGTAAACGAAATGCACAATCGCAGACGAAAATGTGAACAAAGTTATGATGCATATTGTCGAGTAATATCTAATTGGTGCTTACCAATTTCTCTTGCTAACACCAGATGTATAGACGAAATACTACAAGGGTTAGACACTGAATAAATTCCCAGTGCTTGTTACGACACAGACTTGAATAAAAAAACAACTATTAATGAGTTAATTCATAAATTCCTACTGCATTACAGACTGACTCGTCCGAAGTAATTCATGCAGACAACGTGACGAAAAGTGAATGAGCAATGGAAGCAGAATCACAAGTTCCTTGTATTCATATCTCCTTTATGCCACATTAATTAATTACATTTTCTTCATAAGTCAGACTACGCTTGTATGTTGTGACGAAACTAACTTCAGCAATTTGTAAATAACACTGATATGTGTGTTGTAAAGATTACCTATTAATTTTTATTAAAGGAAATAGAAATCTCTAATGATTAGCGCTGTCTGCAAATAAGAGACATAGGTTTATTCTGTAACCTTCTATTTGATGGACTTATTCAATGTGATACTGATAACTAAGTCTAATTCTTTATTTCACGACTAATTTATTGTTCTTCACAATTGTATGAATCCGTTAAAGTCGTCAAAGCTTTGTGATTATGTTTACGCCGGTCTACAACTTATGGAATTCGTGATTATGGAAGACCATGTTAAAAACCGGTTTACAAGTTCACGTTAACTGTGTTCCGTATTGCCTAGTAACATTTTTATTCAACTAATGAATTAGTGAAATATAAATATAGCAACTACACTTAGTGTCTTACTTTATAAACCGTGTCCGTATTTATTAATAGTCGATATGACGCTGGAACAAATATAGATAGAAAATAATATGAACTCCTCATAATCCATGGAATGAACAAGTAATAAGATGGATTATGCAATAATTCATTTTACTTTTAAAATTTAGTTACCGATTTATCCCAGCACCCTGTCACTTACATCTGCTCACTTAATCCTCTGTAATTATGTGACCTCTTCAAATTGTAATCAATTATTATGTAGCCCAAGTTTTCAGTTTTTAAATCCACGGATCATTTATAAGCTATAAGATTTTCACACCACTTATCTGTCTGTGAACTCCAGTCCACTATTACATCAACCATTCTTAATGTGTTATTGACTGTAAAAACAAATGACCTTTGACCTTAAACTGCATATATATATATATATATATGTATATATATATATATATATATATATATATATATATTGATAACCTACGTCATTTCAATTATTCATATTCAGGTATGTCAACTGTTTCCCACATCACTGTTAAATCCTAATGCATATTTAGTTATAATGAATGCATACCACTGTTAATCAACATTTCTCCTAGTTTCATTTTAATTCATAAGCGGAACTAATCACATGAAATTAAAATCTACTTAGCTACTGATACGATTTTGATGATAAACGTAATCCGACGAAGGTTAATATGATATGTGGGTGCCTAATCTGCAAGACTGTACGTGGATGTAGGGTTTCTTAATCATTCTTAATTATTACAGACAGTTACACATAAACATCATTGCTATTCATTCCCAAGAAAGTAGGAATAAGATGAAAATTAAAATTATGAAAGTTTATTGAATAATCATTGCTGCTAAAGCAGAAAATCAAGTTTACAAATTGGTATTAAGAATTCTTAAGTAATAATTGTCTACTTTCTTCTCAACTTCCGTGTGTTATACAGACAGCCGCGCTTTTACATCGTGTGCAATCCATCACAAATGTTTCAGTCAACATTGTGTCACCCATTATCTCTTTGAATTGATCTAAAATCCATATCACATCGGCACGCTTTTCCCTTCGTGTCCACGCAAACATTACAGTTCGTCCTCGGCCCCAATTATCCGTCACCACTAACTGGAATAACGAATATCTACATAGTAAAATACAACGATAGACATATTCACTTTTTATTATTAGTATTATACGTAGAATCAATGCACAAAACTTCTGGATATTTCCTATACAGTTGTATTTGGTTATAACTACTGAAACATATTCTCGTGGCATATCCATTTTCTAAATGTTCCCCCACTTCGCCTTTCTGTCTCAGCATATTCATTACCTGCTTCCGAGTAAAA